CTTATAAACTGTCATATTAGATGTATAGATATATGTTAATTAAACAACATGTTGCACAGGGACATTTTACTAATGACTAGCGAACCGGACATGCCGTAACCTTTCCATATATGTGATGTTTACCGGTAGCGGATTGTTATGTACATGTTTCGTCAATTTAATGTTGACATATCTGGCTAAATAAAATGCCTGTTTATGACATTACCCAGCTGAAGTTAAGGACTAACATAACTACGAGCTAGAGAGAATCTCGGACGGCAGCGAGCGGAGCTTCTTTTACTGCCTTTGTTTCCTCCGTCACCGGCAGCCACCGACGTGTTTTAAAAGTGCATTTAGTCTTTAAGCGAGCTTTAACAGCATCAATAAAACAAGGGCAAAACAAATCTTGCCCTTGACTGTAACCGCGACATCTGTTTTTATTTTACCATTCATTTAAATACCAAACCTCACCTGGAAACAATGAAAGTCCGGGGGGACAGTGAAGGGAAGTTACAATGCAGTTAACACCACCTTATATTATGAAATACTTGTACTTGAGTAGGCAGGCCTGTTTCCATTGTAAGGTACTTTAATACACTATAATTGAGAGGAAATGATTAAATAGTTAGTATGAAGGTCGAGTTTTTCATACAAAATATAGCTATTTATACATTTCGATTGATTGATTACATTTAAATGCATAATTTGCATTTGTACTTGTTTTATTCATCTTTAATTTGTATTGTATGTAGTCATCAGTTTTTGAATCAATATGTAATCTTTTACAGCTTGTTCATTAATATTGATTGTTTCATGTTTGCGCAGGTTCAGCAGGCGCTGCAGGTCTCAGGGAGAGCAGGTCCTGAAGCAGGGTATCCCCGCTCCTGACGCTCCCATGGCAGGACCTGAGCAGCTTCTTGTGGCAAAGCAGAAAGGGACATCTCTGACTCCTGGCAGTCTGGCTGAGCCTCACACCTTTGCTCTACCACCACACACTGCAGGTGAGGCAAAGCTCCAGAAGAGATCACAACCAGTGGCCATCTCACAGGTCCCCCCACCACCTCCATGCTATGCTCTTCCCTTCCTTGCACCGACTCCACCCTTCTCAACACCATACATGATGGTACCATCTGTGCAGCTTCCTCAAGAGCCTGGAAGCTCTCAGATTATGCTTCTCAACATGCCATCAGCTGCTCAGGCCCTAGCATCCAGTCAGAGTAACGTGCCGTACACCACGCAGCAGAACAGGGAAAGAAAAGAGGAGAGGGAGCAATGTGGATCAGGCAAACGACAATATGTCAAAAAGACAGACACCATCCTTTGCAAAAAGTGCAACAACGACAGGAAGCCACCAGCCCACTGACAGGACTTTGGCAATTGGTTCTGTCAAGAATCCGAGAGCCGGTCCTATGAGGACTGGAGGCTGTGCTGAGAGGGGATGCACCTTAAAGGACCTCATGTTGTGAGCCGGTCGGTCATTTTGTTATTTATTTGACACTTTATTTCTTTACATTTGATGGCACTGTTTAGTTAGTTATGTTATATGGTACACTTGTATTATTATTGTTTATATTAGTATTATAATGTTGTTGTGACCTCATAGCACGTATAAAACCGTTTTGGATGTTTCTGTGTTTTTAACTTCTTTTAAATATTTGATATTTATTTTGCAACTTTTTCACTTTAATATATTTTGCACCGTTTGTTTTGTTATTAGTATTTATTTTACACTTTACTATACATATTATTACTGTTGTTTGAAATATATAAATACATATAAAACAAGTATGGATGTTTCTGTTTTGAATATTTCATCATCATCATATTTCATTATTGTTATATTTACTTAATACTTTGTTCTTAAGTTTTAATACATTTATTAAAAGTTGTAATTATAATAATAAATGCAAAACATAACAATAATCCGCATACATATTTGGCATAGTACTTATATTCTAAGTACTATTCTATATTAAGTACATCTATAGAAGTACTGTACAATGATGTACTGACTTGCATGCTCCACTAGAGGCAAAGATTTGACTCTTAACTTCATTGATTTGATAACATGAGGTGAAGAACTGAAATGATCCATTGATTTGATTCACAACCCAAAAGTGTGGTCAAATAATAAATAAGCTCCACCTTTACATTTATGCATGTTCTGACGTTCTGACATACAAGGGATTGAGCGGGATTCGAAACCGGCTCGCAGGGTGTATTTCGGCTACTTCACGGTTATCAAACATAGACTAACACGCTATGTCCTTGGCTCAGTGGGTAGTGTGCTGGACTTTGAATCAGGGGATAGCAAGTTCGAGTCCCACTGCAGTCAGCATGTCGTTGTGTCCCTGGGCAAGACACTTCACCCCAAATGGCTCCTGTGGGGATTGTCCACACTTTGTCAAAACTCATTATGTAGCCCGTCTCACATGAAAGGCAATTCCGGACGCAGCCCTGACTCACCTGCCCCATCTCCATCTTTCCACTAGAAACAAAGCTTTTTACGGGAGGAATCTTTGTTTTCTAATGTGCCTGCTACAGTGCTTCCGCCACTACGCAGTGCTGAAGAAAAGTGGGAGCAGTTGGACGGGCCTACTTCCTATTTATACGGAAGTGAGGCCGGAGGTGGGGCCCACGTCATAGGTGGGCGTGGATTAAGTCTGTCAGTGCTGCACACGTGCAGTGGGATTACCCAATAGCGATAGCCTTAGAGGGCGAAGCCTTATACGAAATAGAACTAAAAGGTACCATGGGGTCAGATTAGAATTGTCCAAAGAGGGGTTCATTTAGCACGACACATTTGAAATAACTAAAGGACAAGTTATACAAGAAAGTAGAAAGAAAGGGAGGTGAAAGTTAGCACTGATTGAGAGTCAGAGCTAAACATTTCAGATGTGTGTATCTCACACGGCACTGTAACTTTTATTCATGTATCTTTGCTTCTAAATAAGTGTTTTTAAATGTCAATTCATAATATGTTTCTGTTTGCTCTTAATGTCTTTCATTTGTGTAAAGCCCTTAGAATTGCCTTGTGTTGAAATGTGCTATAAATACATTTGCCTTGCTTTCACTTTCCATTCACAACCTGAGTGAGCCAGATTTACCAGCAACAAGTGACGCGCGGCTCAGACTGAATTCTCATTGGCTCAGAGGAGCTGGTGTTACCTCTCTTCTGTGTGTCTCTCTCATTGACATCCCGCTCTGCAGAAAGGACGGCTGTGTTTCTGTGGATAAAGAACCTTTCACACAGAAAGCCTCGATGAAGATGAAGATGTTGCTGTTTCTGCTTCTCCTGGGAATAGTAGGCCCACACTGCACATCTGCACGTGAGTCTTTTTGTTCTTTACGTTGAAAATAAGAAGTGCTTCATGTGTTTATGGGCTGTGTGACTTTAAAGTGGGATAGTCTTAAATGGTGTACTTCTCCTCCACTACATGTATTTATTTTAATACCTTTAGTTACTTCACAGATGTGGATGAATGATGTGAAATCTAACCAAGTGTTGAATCAGACTTTAGTTCCACCTGGAGTAAATCCACCAGCTACCCTGCAGTATACAAAGTACTTCAAACTAGCTGCACCTTCACCAGCTTTGAGAACACTTTCATGATCAATCATTATAAAACATATCATATATATTATTCTGAAATGGACCAATCTGCACAACGACTACTTTTACTGTCTTTCACTATATTTAGATGAGAATACTTTTCTACTTTCACTTGAGGGACATTTTGAATGCAGGACTTTTACTGTGATAGAGTATTCCTACACTCTGGTACTTCTACTTTTACTCAAGTACAAGATCTGAGTACTTCTACTTTTACTCAAGGACAAGACCTGAGTACTTCTACTTTTACTCAAGGACAAGATCTGAGTACTTCTACTTTTACTCAAGTACAAGATCTGAGTACTTCTACTTTTACTCAAGTACAAGATATGAGTACTTCTACTTTTACTCAAGTACAAGATATGAGTACTTCTACTCTTACTAAAGTACATGATCTGAGTCAGGGCCGGCCCTCGCATCAACCCATAGGGGGCGCCAAAAATTGGGGAGAAAAAAAAAAGTTAGACATTTAAAAAATATATATTGCGTACAGCGCCCATAAACTATGGCACCCCCCCCCCCCCCCCCCCCCCCCCCCCCCAATCAAGTTGAACTGCCCCAGCCCCATAAAATACAAAGGTTTATGTGAAATTGTTCTTTTTTTGAAATAATGGTTTTAATGTGCAATTATAGGTTTTAATTTTGTATTTGTGTTCATTTAAAATAAATCAAACTCCCAAAAAACGTACACAGCTTCTGTGTGCTTTTATTAACATTGGAATTGACTGTGTAAGCGGCCGCGGGGGGTTTCCTGAAAGACTGAGAGGCTCTGATAACCTCAGCTCAGTGAGGTAAAGGCACACCTTTATATGATCATTATAGTTATATAAATCAGCCAGCTAAAATCTTGCCTAGGGCAGCAAATTGGTCCTGATCTGAGTACTTCTACTTTTACTCAATTACTAGATCTGAGTACTTCTACTTTTACTCAATTACTAGATCTGAGTACTTCTACTTTTACTCAATTACTAGATCTGAGTACTTCTACTTTTACTCAATTACTAGATCTGAGTACTTCTACTTTTACTCAAGTACAATATCTGAGTACTTCTACTTTTACTCAATTACTAGATCTGAGTACTTCTACTTTTACTCAATTACTAGATCTGAGTACTTCTACTTTTACTCAAGTACAAGATCTGAGTACTTCTACTTTTACTCAATTACTAGATCTGAGTACTTCTACTTTTACTCAATTACTAGATCTGAGTACTTCTACTTTTACTCAAGTACAAGATCTGAGTACTTCTACTTTTACTCAATTACTAGATCTGAGTACTTCTACTTTTACTCAAGTACAAGATCTGAGTTCTTCTACTTTTACTCAATTACTAGATCTGAGTACTTGTACTCTTACTAAAGTACATGACCTGAGTACTTCTACTCTTACTAAGTACATGATCTGAGTACTTCTACTCTTACTAAAGTACATGATCTGAGTACTTCTACTCTTACTAAAGTACATGATCTGAGTACTTCTACTCTTAATAAAGTACATGATGTGAGTACTTGTACTCTTACTAAAGTACATGATGTGAGTACTTCTACTCTTACTAAAGTACATTATCTGAGTACTTCTACCTCCTCTGGGGACCATGTAATATCTAAGAAAGCTCCCTCTGGTTAAAGGTGTGATAGAAATTATAGAAGCACCTTTGAATATCTAGTATTGATCAGGTCTGATGAGATGTCTGAATATCTAGTATTGATCAGGTTTGATGAGATGTCTGAATATCTAGTATTGATCAGGTCTGATGAGATGTCTGAATATCTAGTATTGATCAGGTTTGATGAGATGTCTGAATATCTAGTATTGATCAGGTTTGATGAGATGTCTGAATATCTAGTATTGATCAGGTTTGATGAGATGTCTGAATATCTAGTATTGATCAGGTCTGATGAGATGTCTGAATATCTAGTATTGATCAGGTCTGATGATGAGATGTCTGAATATCTAGTATTGATCAGGTTTGATGAGATGTCTGAATATCTAGTATTGATCAGGTCTGATGAGATGTCTGAATATCTAGTATTGATCAGGTTTGATGAGATGTCTGAATATCTAGTATTGATCAGGTTTGATGAGATGTCTGAATATCTAGTATTGATCAGGTTTGATGAGATGTCTGAATATCTAGTATTGATCAGGTCTGATGATGAGATGTCTGAATATCTAGTATTGATCAGGTCTGATGATGAGAATGTACTGAATATCTAGTTATTGATCAGGTTTGATGATGAGATGTCTGAATATCTAGTATTGATCAGGTTGATGAAGACTGGGCTGAATATCTGTATTGATCAGGTCCGGATGATGAATGTCTGAATATCTAGTATTGATCAGGTTGATGGATTCTGAAATATCTAAAGTATTGATCAGGTCTGGATGAGATGTCTTAATAATCTAGTATTGATCAGGTTTGATGAGATGTCTGAATATCTAGTATTGATCAGGTCTGATGGATGTCTGAATATCTAGTATTGATCAGGTTTGATGAGATGTCTGAATATCTAGTATTGATGCAGGTCTGATGAGATGTCTGAATATCTGTATTGATCAGGTCTATGATGAGATGTCTGAATATCTAGTATTGATCAGGTTGTGATGAGATGTCTGAATATCTAGTATTGATCAGGTCTGATGAGATGTCTGAATATCTAGTATTGATCAGGTTTGATGAGATGTCTGATATCTAGTATTTGATCAGGTCTGATGAGATGTCTGAATATCTAGTATTGATCAGGTATGATGTCTGATATCTAGTATTGATGGATGTCCTGAATATCTAGTATTGATCAGTTTGATGAGATGTCTGAATATCTAGTATGATCAGGTTTGATGAAATGTCTGAATATCTAGTATTGATCAGGTTGATGAGATGTCTGAATATCTAGTATTGATCAGGTCTGATGAGATGTCTTAATATCTAGTATTGATCAGGTTGATGAGATGTCTGAATATCTAGTATTGATCAGGTTTGATGAGATGTCTGAATATCTAGTATTGATCAGGTTTGATGAGATGTCTGAATATCTAGTATTGATCAGGTCTGATGAGATGTCTGAATATCTAGTATTGATCAGGTCTGATGAGATGTCTGAATATCTAGTATTGATCAGGTTTGATGAGATGTCTGAATATCTAGTATTGATCAGGTTTGATGAGATGTCTGAATATCTAGTATTGATCAGGTTTGATGAGATGTCTGAATATCTAGTATTGATCAGGTTTGATGAGATGTCTGAATATCTAGTATTGATCAGGTCTGATGAGATGTCGAATATCTAGTATTGATCAGGTTTGATGAGATGTCTGAATATCTAGTATTGATCAGGTTTGATGAGATGTCTGAATATCTAGTATTGATCAGGTTTGATGAGATGTTTGAATATCTAGTATTGATCAGGTCTGATGAGATGTCTGAATATCTAGTATTGATCAGGTTGATGAGATGTCTGAATATCTAGTATTGATCAGGTTGATGATGA